ATAGATTTATTTTAAATTTTAAGAGAATCGGTAAAATATTGTTTTCTAAGAAATTTCTAAAAATATTAAATTGCTAGATTCTTTGTGAAGAGCCTGGTTTCAAACTATGTATATTGCCCTGAATAAACCTACATATTTTATTGTTGATATGATATACTTAGGTACCTATAAGATAAAATCTCAAGGGCGGAGAAAATTCCTACATTTTTAGGTCTCTAGTAAAGGTTTAGTTTCCGGTAGTCATGGATGACTACCACCAGAAACTGGTTAGCCCATTTTCTCAGCTAATATTTATTTTTCTAAAATTTGTAAGTAGTTAAAAAAAAACTTTATTATATTGTCTTGCAAACGAATTTTTACGGCTTCTATGAAAAATCTAGAGCACATTATGAGTTGAGGTGCAAGAGAGTATATGCAAAGAAATTCATTGCGCGTTTATATGACAACAAATTGAAATTTTTAATTATCCATGGAACAATAGGTACTAGCTAAAAGTTAGAATAATTTAGCATATGTACGTATATATGAGCATAAATGTTGTTATAAAAAAATATACATGAATCAAAAAACTATGTGAATATCAAAAAACTATGTGAGTTCAGAATTAAATATTTAATTAAAATTTAACATAATGTTTAAAATTAGTTGCAATTATTTATTTTTTTGTTATGTACGTTTGTTTTATATACAAAACTACAAAGAATGGAAAAATTGGCTCCAAAATCATTAATATTCAACTAAAAATTTATTAAAATTCAAATGAAAATAATTTTGAGAGCAAACTAAAAAGTTCCGGTTTTAGTGAACACAAAAACCTTGAAAATCAAAATATTGCGTTGAAATTGACAAAAATTCACGACTAAGATAAAAATTATATTTTTTGCTTTTTTTTGAATTTTGATTAAAAGTTTACTTAAATTTATTTTGTTAATTATGAGCAATGAGTCATTTACTTTAACATATGTATGTACGTTCATATACATATATGTACGCATATATGTACTTATATTGTATATATTTATGCAACTGATCATAAATCGTTTTTCAATTACATTATCAGTTTAATCACATTTAAATTATATATCTAGATATATTTTTCTGAAATATATGCAATATATTTTTGATGACAACTCAGTATAGTATTCTATGGGTCAATGGTTTAATAGCGAAAAGGTTGCTTCTTGTTTTGAAGCTCTAAGACTTTTAGATAACGCAATGAAATAGGAAATTGAAGAAATTGTTCCATAATTTTTACTTATGTAGACGTATAATACATTTTATGTGCGTGAACAAAAATTAAATACATACATACATACTTTAGAACTGAAACGCAACGTGAAAACTATAACCTTGAATATTAAAATAATAAATGTTCCAAAAATAAGAAAACATTATTTACTTCTTATGATAAATTCGAGTGAATATAAAAATATTAAAAAACATTGTTGTAGGTATGTATATGAATAAAAATATTTTTGTGATTTAGCTATTTTTGATTTTATTGTTTTTACGAGTAGCTAGCTTTATTTTTGTGTATTATCGTAATTGAATAATGCGTTTATTATTCTTACTTTATATAAAACATCTGATGTCAACAGACCCGTCAAAAGGTCCAGCTCCCGAGACCTGATGTATCCCAAAAGTGGATCAATCCGTGCCATAGTCGAAATAAACTTACATGTAAAATTTCATTAAAATCGGTTCAAATGGTACATGAAGAACAAGTAGACTATAGGAGGAAAATATAAAATAATTCAAACGCATTCTAAAATTTGTTCTAATACTGAATTCTAAAGAGTTAATAAAAATATCGATATTTTTTTCAAGGCATTGTTCCTTCTCATACACATGACAATTACATTATTTAAATTAGTTTCGATTAGTTGTATAAGAATATTGCATACATTCCGGATGAGCAAAAAAATGAAAATTGAAAGAGGCTTTAACATAATGCTCGAATTAAAGTGTTAATTACGTAACTTAAGAGAAGTAATTACATTTTTTAATGGTATGGCATTTACTGTAATCGTTCTGCATTTATTAAAATTTGGAAAACTTATGGTTTCGGAAATATAAAAAAAATTTAAATTTCACAAATTTCGAGAGGCGATAAGTTGAGGTGGAAACGAGATGGAGAAAAATTTTCTTCCAACAAATGAACTGTTTAGTAGTATCTACAACCTGTTAAATTTTCAGACTCCTACAGCTAATCGTCTAGAAGAAAATGGGTATCAAAAATTTGAAAAAAAAAAAAAAACGTATTTTACATTACGGTTAATTTGAACGGCCATTTTGATTTTCCTAAAATTAACCAAGTTATGGCGCAGTATAGAAAGTTTATCGTTACTCAGATACTAGCATATGCAGAATTCAAAAAATTGTTGTTTCGTTACAATACATAGTCAAAAGTGACATTTTTAAAACTTTGTGGAAGTACAATTTTTAGAAGGGGAAAATAGGTAAAAATTTTCTTCTACGGAAATAAGTTTCTAGTAAGGATCTGTGCACATATGAAATTTCACCGGTGTAGAAGTTTTGTAAACAGACGCACGGAAAGAGTAAAACTAATAAGCACTTTTTTTTTCAAATTTTTGGAAAAGTGCCAAAAAGAAGGAAATTTGTGAGGAAAGTTGAGAAAAAATTGAGTAGTTATGCTGAAGCAAACGTGCAAGTTCCTAAATTTTTTTTTCTTTATTTTCTAATTCAAAATAAATTAATTCATTCATAATATTTTATTTTAAAAAAAAATATATTTTTTTTGTAAATAAAAAAAAAAACCATTTTAAAGAATATTTTTTACAAAATTTTAAAACGCAAACAAATTTTTTTTGAGGAATCTTATTTTTTCCCCCCATTCATAATAAAAAAAAACAAACAATATAAAAACTGAAATACGAAATAAAAAAGATTATGACGAATAAAAAAGAAAAAAATATATTTTTTAGGCGCCATTTAAAAAGCAAACATTAAAATTGTAAAAACTTAAAATAAACTTTTTAGTATTAATGATTTACCATAATTATTCCCAATTTTCAAAAATTTAAAATTTAAATTGTAATTTATTGTTACCTTACTAGTTTAGATACATATACATATAAACAACAATAACTAACTAATAATAAGTTAAAAGAGTAGCGATCAGTTTTTAACCTGTTAAAAATTTATTATATACTTACACACATACAAATATATGGTACGAACATTAATTATCGCATTGTTTTTGTAAATTTTCTTGCAAAAAGAGCTACAAAATAATAATTCCTAAGAATTGTATAAAACTGTTTGGTATTAATATGAAAGTAATTTCGCATCAAAACTGAAAACGAAGCATTTCGGAGTGGCATACTGCTTAAGATATGAATGTAAATATATACAAAAACAGCAGTAATTGAAATTGCTGCTCCGTCTCCGCTTATTTTATCTTGCATATATTTTCTTTTATCTAGCATTTTTATATATTTTATTTTTAAAGTATTCTAAAGCATAAAAATTTCTTACAACCGAGATATTTATGCTTTTAATGTTGCATATAAAGTGTCGAAAACCTTTCGTGGAGAATATGTATTTGTGTACAAGTACATATTATGTAATTTCATCTTTGGTTATAGATTTTTTAACTTAATCTTTTAGCATAATTATTTGTGCTTTTTTACTTTATACTCGTATATGGAATTATAAATGGATATAATTATTGTACTATATTGACATGTTCCTCATGTAATCATAATTATATATTGCAAATCTCTAAAGCTGATATAACAGAAGTTGATTTTTATGCGAATGTATTAATTATTTTTTGCATATAAAACTTTTGGGTTTTGGTAAACATATCTAGAATATATACGATCTTAGATATTTAACATTGATTTTAAATTTTAAAATGTTATTCTATACAGTTAAGGAAATTCTAAAATATAAAAAATGTCGTGATAGTCAAATTAATTTTCAACGATATTTTTATTTTAATTATAAACTATATGAAAAAAAAACGTTCTTTTGTTTGCATAATATTTAGCAATTTTTGCTTTAAAAAGCTACAGTATTTCACGGACTGTAAGATGTAGATAGCTTTTTAGGTTTGAAAGATCGAAAAGTCACACCTTACTACTTATATTTATTAACATTAAAAACATAAAACCAACATAAAAATTATGATTCCTCTTTATAAACATTGACATTATTTACCTTAAAAACAATTAAATCAGTCGCTTAACGAATCGATCCAGTATAAGTGTCATTACTCTACCCAAGTTTCATAATAAATTAGATCATTGTTAAATTCATTTGTCAAATTATCTTGGAATTTTTTTTTCCCAAACTCGAGCGTAAATGATTTGTAAAAAAACCAAATATTAACTCTATTTAGGTGTTAGATTCTGTTTACAAAATATTTAAAAAACGAGAAAAAATAGAGTTGACCTTGTCAACTCTGTGATACCCGTACGAATTTGTTATCCTATGTGCAAATAAAGATACCATAATTGTTTCTTAGCGTTACATTATTTCTTAGCGTTACAAACAGTAAGGCAAATTTAGTATACCCTTCGAACAAACGTTCGTACGGGTATAAAAAGAGTTGTCGCATCTTTAATTTCAAAAACAAAAATTTTTTTGAAATTTTTTTAAATGGCCGGTCTCGATTTTCAATGTATGCAGTTTTACTGTTTCTATTTTTGGTAAATTTTCGTTTTCCAACAACTGAATTAGCATTCTTTTGAAATTCCGTCTGATGGAGATCAGATATCTTGGCTCAGAATCCGAAATGTATTAAATGTATAACAAAAATCAGATTTTTGTGCATATTTTGAATCAAAAATAAATTTATTAAGTTTTTTTAATTATAAAATTAGATATGAAAATTAGATATTAAGATTGCTAAATATAATAATGTAGTCATTAAAAATTTTTTAGATAAAAGTAGTGGTATATGTTTGATTTAATTAAATATATAATTTTTTAATATATTTTATTAATTTTTTAATTTTTTGTTTTAATTTCAGGAATGAGAATGACCATGTCAACGTCATCCACAATGACACCGCGTATACACAGAAAGGGAATGCGAATCCCTTCTAAACGTCATCCTGGTAAAATAATGCCAGGCAAATTGCATTCAATATCAAGAGTAAGTACAAATTAAATTGTGTTATTATCTACATAAATAAATATGCACGTTGAAATAATATTTGCAATTCTGTCAACCTTTGTAATTAAAGGTTAATCTTATTACAAAATAATAATTTTATAAAATCTTTAAAAACAGGTGGGACCAGGCAAATTAGTACCAGGAAAGAAAATTTTAAATCGTCCGCATCCGCCGCCTTGCGATAATTCAAATGACAGTGGATTTGGATTCGATCAACATGTTGAACATCATCATAATTCTCACAGTTCGCAATCATTAATGCGTCCAGCAACCCAAAGGTGAGAAAACGCTTATTATTTTGGATTAGGATTTTAATTTTTTTCTTCTTGAAAACATATTGTTGTTTTTTTTTGTCAAATATATATATATATATATATATATATATATATATGAACATATCTATGTATGAGAAAAGAATGAAATATACATATATGTATATATTAAAATATACATACTCGTATGTACATATATAAATTGAGATACACTTTTGAGAATATAAATCATGATTTCAGGTGATTGTTTTACACGTGATTGGATCTTAAAATATATATGTGTGTATATACATAAATATATGTATGAGTGTATACGTATTTTATTTTTAGTATTGAACACACGTATACGTAAATGTATATATATACATTTACATATACGTATATGTATATATATTTAATTTTTCTCAAAGTCTAAACAATTTTAGAATTCACTTGCACTTTTGATTGAAAGTTTGTGTGGAAGGCTGTTTAGGTTACAATATTTTTAGTTAGTTTATTAAATATGAGTTTGTAGTTTTAAAATAATTTTAAATTTAAAATTTTTAAGATGATAAATGATATGAAGATTAATTTTTGGGAACATGAGTGTCATTTAGTTAAATTACCAGAATTTTTTTAAAAACAAAAAAAAGGTTCCTCTACAATAGCCTTTGACCTAAATACAAATTTAAATGATTTTTTTTATAAACTGATGTATTTTAAACTATAGGTTATATTAAAATTAAATTTTAAAACAGAAAACAAGTAAAAAGTTGTGTCGATTTTCGAAACATATTTTATAAAATGTAAATTCATGTGAAGCGTTTTGTTTTGAGAGAATTTGACTTCATTTACATTTTTAATCTAATAAACGAATAAGTAAACTGTCCTAGTAGTAATATGGTGTGGCTCTCAGAGAACAGAGAACGGACCGGCTGCTCCTTCTCCATCCATCCTCGGCAAAAGCGCCTAATGCATGGGTATCACTTCAAAGCATCCTTCTGCTTGCTTCCTTATTTATAATACTAGTAAACTCCCTCAATAGTGGAAGTTTCGAAAAATCCTTTTACGTTACGTCAGCCACTGCCCCGCAAACTGATTTAATACCCATACAAATATATTAAATTTACAAATACCAAAAATATGTAATAGAAAATGTTATATTTATTCTACACATACCTACATATCTTTATTAATGTATGTATAGATTAAACTGTGATTTAAATTTTTTGTAATATTCGTATACATGTTTGTCTATGGCTTAAAGTACGGGTTATAAGAATATAACCAATTAACCATTGTCATTACCGTTATTTAGGAATATTAATCAAGAAAAAAAATTTGCGAAGTTACTTTTTTCTAGTTTCTATTAAAAGTTGTTATGGATATTTATCAGACATAGTATTTTAAATTTAATTTTCTTTAACCCTCCAAAGCCACCCTTAGATGTTTGAGTACTGGTACCTCCTATACAAAGTTCTTGAGAAGCTTTCAAAAAATTCAAATTAGTTCAAATCTCTCGACAACTTTTTTTAAAAATTTTGTTCAACAACTTTTTTGAAAATTGAACATATAAAATGAAAGCGTGTGTATATATATATAACTATTAAGCCACATAAAGAATTCTACAGCTATGATACAAATAGCAAGTTTTGTACGCTTACTTTACAAATTTTTTTTTAAACTTATAAAGAATATTACTTGTACCTCAATAAAATTTGAACATTGTTACTCCTTTTACTTTCCTTTTATAATAGTCAAAATACGTTTATCTAGTGCAAAAGTTTTAATAAAGATAAAGTTGGTTTTAAATTTTAGTTTTTTATTTTCATAGTAGTATAGTTAAAAGTTAGACGGAACACAAATTAAGGTATTTCGTTAATTAGACTCTTATTTCTTCTTATAGTTTATGTAATTTTAACTTTATTTTTATTATCATAATTTTTTGTTCTGCATTAATATTGCTATTTATATATGTACATATTTTATACACAAAAATGTATTGTTATTAATAAGAAATTGTTATTTTTTTTATTTTTGATATTGTACGCAAAATATAATTTAATATTTTAAATAATATTGAATATTCATAAAATTAAATTAAAATTACGATAACTGATATATTAAATTTAAAAATAAATAAATTTATTATAATTGTTGAGCTCAAATAAAATGTTTGAATGTAATTTAGTAGTTAATTTGTCTTGATTTTAGAAATATTGTTGCACTTATTGTAATTCACTTTATTAAATTTAATTGAAATTTGAAGGGTTTTATAATGTAGAGTAGTATTATCAGAACAAATATTTTAAATTTACGTTTTTTAAAAAAGTTTATTGAATTCGTTAAAAATAAAAATTTAAAACAATGTAGCGTGAAACAAAAAATAAGTAAATTCTTTTCGGTGAAGTAAAAGAAGAAAACCTTCGAAAAAAAGAAAAGAGAATTGGTCGAAAGAGAATCAAAATCAAACTTAAAATTAAAAATTTAATTTAGTAAATTTAGAAAATTTTACTGACAAATAGTTGCATATTTAATCGCATCGGAGATTTCATTTCATTATTTTTAAATTAATTTAAAATTTGTTCAACGCCTTTAAAATATCTTTATGATTACTTGTTTGTACTAAATTTAAAAAAAAAATTAATTTATGGACCAAAATTGCTTGTATAGAAACTTTAATCAAAAAAAATTTACAAGAAGTGCTTTAAATTAAAATGAATTATAGAAAACAATCAAAAGCCATCTCTTTGGTTGCGTGTAGTAATTTTAATTTTTGAACGCATTCATTTCAAAACTCATAATAACATAGCACAGTTATCGATTTACCGTGTCATTTATTAACGATTTCGATTTCAAATAATTAGGTTTTTAATTTTATTGTATCTTATGTACAAAAAAACTAAATTTTTATCTAAATGTTAATTTAAAATATTATTTTTTTTGAAAAATCAAAATATAAATTGACTTTGTAAATTAGGTATGTATATGTGTTTAGTTATATTATATATTATATTATATATATACTCACAGATATTATATTTAAGATAAAAATTTTATATGTACGTGTCTTTAATATTTAACTGTCATTTGTGCATTGGATATTAATGTTGAATGATGTCACATTAACGTCATTTATGCATTAAATGCTAATGATCAATGTCGCCATATAAAAAACCATTCAGCCAATAAGGTGTTAATTAATAAAATGAAATATATAATACATATATATATATATTTAGAAATATATGTATATATATATATATATATATATATATATATGTATGTATACATATATATATATATATATATATATATATACATATATATGTGTATATGTAAAATTGTATCTGTGAATTCTCAATTAGATAAAAAATAAATAAATAAATAAATAAAAAAAAACAACAAAAACTATTTAGAGCTAAAATAAAAACAAAGAATATTTAACCGAATTGAAATTCACCTATATAATTCAAGTTATATTATTATAATGTTTAGATCTGGTTATCATGATGATGGTTTAATTACATCTGATGGTTCAGAAGATTTAGTGGGAATTAATACAGGTTCATCTCTATCTTCATTATCCTCATCATCATCATTATCTTATTCTTCTTCATCTTCTTCATTATCATCACCATCATCAATATCATCTGCATCATCATCGTCATCGTTGTCATCATCATCTTCAATAAGTTCAAACAACATAAAGTTACAAAATCGTACAAAACGAAGGAAATTGGGAACTGCTCCTGTTACAATTAATATTGATGATAACGAAGATGCTTGCAGCGATGACACATTTATACAAAAAATCACAAATGCGGGCCTTACACAAGGTTCAATAGTTACGACTACAACTCAAGTTGCCGCAAAGTAAGGACACTTTATGTAATATTGTAGCTTTTAATAAAAAAAAATAACATAATAATTTGTATTTAATTAAAAAAAGTAAAAATTATAACATAAAAACTGTTTCTTGTATGCCTACATTAGACATACATATATGTATATGTGCATATATATATATATACATAAGTATATACATACATAGTATATTAAAGTTTTAAAGTGTGCGTATATAAAGCGATATTTGATTGATTGTATTCATTGTATTTCATCTAGATTTTCATCTCTTCTTTTCCATTATTTTATTATTATTTATTGATTGGCATTACTAATATAGAAATTTGTAATGAAATTTATGCTTTAATAACTTCTGCAAATATTTGCTTTTAGTTTAATTGTGATTTGTCTAAAATTATACTTATATAATTTATTATTAAATACCTATGTATGTAGATATGATTTTTTATTGAAATTGATGAAAATTATTTTAAAATTATTATTTAACAATTTTATTTCTTTCATTTTTCAGATATTATACTTCTACGGGGCAAAGAACAGTTATAAGATCTGGTAAAAGACCTCAACAAATGCAACAGAATACATACACAACTTCAAAAGATGGTTCAGTCCAATTAGAAATTGTATCACAACCTGAACAGCAACATCGTGCCAGGTAATACATAATATATTTAAATATTGATTATGAATTTAAATACAAAATTAGTTTACACAATACTAAGAAGAAAATAAATTACAAAATTTTGTTTTCATTTGTCGAATGTTTATATATGTAGACAAGAAAAAAAATAAATTCAAAAATTAAATTCTCAATTAATTTTGAAAATAGATATCAAACAGAGGGAAGTCGTGGAGCAGTCAAAGATCGGAGCGGTAATGGATTTCCGATCGTAAAATTAATTGGTTACAATAAACCAGCAACACTGCAAGTTTTTATCGGAACCGATGTCGGACGAATTGCACCACATATGTTTTATCAAGGTTTGAACATTTGTATTTTCCTATTTTTCTTATTTTCTTACGTTTTGTGTTTACTAACTTATAATTAACTTTTATAAATAATTTCGCAGCATGCAAAGTTGCTGGTAAAAATTCAACTCCTTGTAATGAAAAGAAACTTGAAGGCACAATGATTATTGAGATTGATTTTAAACCCGAAAATGACTTTACTATCAATTGTGATTGTGTTGGAATTTTGAAAGTAAGTTTAACGTGTGTAATGTAATTATTGATACTTGTATATATGAAAAATGTTTTCTTTATTTAATTTTAGGAGAGAAATGTTGATGTTGAACATAGATTTCCAGACCAGTCAGCGCAACGTAATAAGAAAAAATCCACCAGATGTCGTATGGTTTTCAGAACAATTATAACTTCAGATGATGGTAAAAATGAAACTCTTCAAGTGTGCTCGCAGCCAATAATTTGTAGTAAGTTACATTATTTCATATTTCAGAAATATAAAATTAACATTCATACAAGAAAATGGTATTAAAGTTTAAAATTAAAATCTAATGTTGCAAAAATACGTTAATCGCTCTTATTCCAAATTTCCTAAAAAATAGTCAAATTTGTGTATCTACGTATAATTGAATTTAAAATATTTGTTTTCTTGTTTTCGCGAATTTGAAATGATTGAAAATTTAAAGTTTTTTGTCAAACAGAATTCAGACAGAACAACGATACTTAACTAAAATTCCTTTGGACGAATTATAAGTTCTTCTTGAAGCTTAAAAGCTTTAATTGTTTATCTTTAATTCTTTTGACTATAGTGTTTTCATTCATATTATTTCCGTTTACTTAAAATATTAGTTTTCAATTCAATTCTTAACAAATCGAATACCCTATGGCCTATAGGTTTCCTTAAAACATTATATAGATAATATTTGAACATCCTCGAAGAAAGTAATTTTTATAACTTTGACAAAAAAATATACTTGTTAATTCCTTCTTTAAAGGATCTTCTTTCCTTCTTCTAAAAAAAAAATTTTTAGAAAGCTTTTTCAGACAAATTACAATTTGAAAAAAATTATCAACACAAGAACAATAAAATCCTGCGATGTGATAATATTAAATATAATTTTGATATTTTTGTAAATTCCAGCTCAACCACCTGGAGTACCAGAAATTTGCAAAAAATCATTAATATCCTGCCCCGTTGAAGGTGGCTTAGAATTATTCATTATTGGAAAAAATTTTTTAAAGGATACTGTTGTAATATTCAGAGAGGATGACAATGAACTAAGCCAACTTGCATCTATTTGGGAACAAAGAATCGTTCCAGATAAAGAATATTTACAGCAGGTATACTGGAATTTAAAATTGAATTATTTTAAATTTCTAATATATATTTCAACTTATTTTTAGACACATTTGGTATGTGTGGTACCACCATATTTTGATCAAGATCTTATTGAACCGGTAACAGTGCAAATATCAGTAATGTCAAGTGGCAAACAAAGTGAAAGTCATAACTTTGTATATTTACCAAAAGGAAGACATAATATGCTAACGGCTTCAACAACTTTAGGTACTATTCATGGGTCAATTGCTGACTGTCAAGGTACATATTTTTAGTCCAAATCTAATATCGCGAATATGGATACGCAAAGCTATAGAAAAAAAGGATACGTCGCTATATTTTCATTTACATTTTTCTGTTAGGGAGATCAATCTTACGAAAAAGTAAATAAATGAAAGCAGTATATATAATCCAGAACATTAGGATTCAATTTTTTACATTTGTTCAACCGACGTACAATAACGTTGTTACAAAAGTCAAGAATAATCAAAACAACCCTATGTGTGAAATTTTATCAGGGCTTTGTGTGCGAACTAAAGTTTTTTTTTGTAAAATAAAAATATAAAATTGAATATATAAAAAATTGAATATGTGAATTTATCAAGAAAATTTATGAAGGAATAATGAGATTTATAATATATAATAGGTTCTCAAAAGTTGTAATAGGTGAAAGTATGACTGTTTCAAATATGGTGAAAGAATATTGTGAATGCAAGTAAATGAGTGTGGTTTTAGGGTTTTCTTGATTATTTTCTTGATTTTTTTGCATACTTCAACTATGGTAAAAGAAAAAACAAATTAAAAAGCATTAGGATTTAATTAAAAAAACAACGGATAAAAGATACAAAAAATTAAAAGTAGAACAGAAAATTTATTTCGAATAAAATTTTGGAAAATGTGTTTTGGAAGAACTTTAATATGAAACTTACTATACTTATTGTATTTTTTTTACATAAAAATTACAATAGTTGAATTGGTCGAAAATTACAAAATGACACTATTGAATTTATGTTTGAATCCAAAATATTCTTTTAGTTTTTTTTAAATTTTTTTGGTTGAACACTCTTTGATATCATTTAAATAGTTAATAGGCTATTTAGTAAAAGACTGCATCTTGTTTCTTATAGATTAACGCCCTACTTTCCAACTTCATTTTAATTGATAACTTTTGGAATCAGACTAAGAAATACTTTTTATTAAATATAAATTGAAATTCATATATAGTTCCAATTTTCTTTTTTAGCAATTGTTAAATAGCTTTAAAGTTCATGATTTCAGTTCAATTTTTAAATACACATTTTCAGAGTTTTATTTGACTTTTTAATTGAAATTTAGTCTATTTATATTAGATTATATTTTTTCATCAATAAATTTATAGAGAAAAGAAAGAAATATATTTATAATTATATTAAAATCGGTAATAGTGAAAAAGAATTGTATTAAATATAATCATTTAAATTAATATTATGCAAAGAAATTTTTCGTTCTGGATCCTCCATACTAAAGTTAGATATATTTATGTATACTTATTTATTTATATACATTAAAATTTTTATAAATTGAAACACATGACATGTTTTGTGATTAGGGACAGACAATGAACAAAATGATAAATGAATACCAAAAGTTCAGATCTATTTAATTAAGGTTAAAATTTTCTAAAAACATCCTCAATGTTTCGAACTTTAAATATAATCGTCTATCTAAATTTTTAACAATTTCATTCAATATTACATTATCGTCACTAGTTTTCAAACATGTACTCATATAATATAACGATTACTAACTATTAAAATGGTGAAACGTGTCCAAGTTAATTTTTAAGCGAATTCGGGAAAGTACATAAATCCAAAAAGTAAAAAAAAAATTATCGGGAAAATTTAAATATTATCGGGAAATAAAACAAAAAAAAAAACTCGTAAAATTGAAAATTTTTTTTTTCTAAACACTAATCACAAAATGTTGTTTTTTCGTTTATTCCTCTCATAGATTTAGGTGTAATAAAATAATAGACTAAGGCTAAAGATCTACCATCATCACACCTCTTTTGGTGCCTAATATATAAAAAAATATTTAAAAAAAGCAAAATAATAATAAGAAAATAAAAAATACAAAAGAAGATTTGGATTTCTACTACTATGTATTGTTTCATCAGTCAGTTGCATTTGAAGCTGGCATCTTCCTTCTGGATCCTGTTGTAAGCATTGTTCTTCCCATCAGCCACAAAAAATAAAAATAAAAATAAACAAAAATCATCGGGTATTGGTTCATTAAAATAAAATAAAAAATGCCACAATACTTTTTTTTTAATTTTTCAACTTTTTTAACTTTTAATATTAGATTTAGAATTTTTAAATGCTTATATATCTTTTAGGATTTTAATTTTTAAATATTTGATAATTTAGTAGGAAAAATGTTAATATAGCCAAATATTAATATATAAAAATTAATTTAATATTAATTTTTTTTATTATTTTAATTAATCTACTTGATATTGAAAGCGTTCTATGAAATGAAACCCATTCTATTATTTTTATTCAATAAATCAAATTAATTTTTTAATTTTAATTCTTATGTACAATAATTTACACTTAATTGAACTGATATTCAAAACTAAATTAAATGCAGCTACCACAAAAATTGTTCTTTATAAAAAAAAATTATTTAAAGTAAAAGAAAAAAGTTTCTATCATCAACTTGCGTAAAATTTTAAATAAAATTCTGAATTTGAAATTTTTTAATGTATTTAAAAATACAAAATTAAATTTTCAAGGTAAAGCTAAATATCTTAGTGACTATAAACTATTTTTACTCTTATATTATTTATTATATTCATTGATACATTTTCATTGGTGATCAAATATAAGAAAATTACAATCTAGAAACCTAATTATTTATTTCAATTAGAGAATAATTAAAAATTTGTATTTCTAATATCGATTTTATTTTTTTTAAATATAATCAATCAAGCTGCATTATAAAACATTTCATTTTAAGAAAATTTCTATTTTCCATAATAATGGAATGAGAATCTAATGAAATATAATTTTAAATTTTCATCAAAACGAATAATTAATTTAAAATATATAATAATATTGTAAAATATTTTTAATTTAACATTAATTTTAATGTTGCCCTTATCTTTATTTATGTATATGTATATTAATATATTTATATTTATATATGTATACTATTTAAATCTTATTTTTTTCGTAACGATAGAATTCTCTTTCTATTTTTCGTTGTTTTTGTTGTGTTGAATTTTTAATTTATTTTGGCTAAACAGTGGCTTTGCATCTGGATGTTCCGCATATCTACCAGTGTTGCATACATCGGGTACACCGTTGGTTTTGTGTTTTTTTCATTCTTTTGTTTTAAAGTTTTTCAGATATCAAAACTGGATTTCTTACAGTTACTTTAGGTTAAGATCTTAGTTTTAATGAAAAGTAGAATTATAATTTAATTTTAAATATAGTTATTTTTAAGATTATTTAATTTCTAAGTATAGTTTTAAGAAAATAAATTACAATATGTTTTGATCATTTTGAAATTTTTCTGACTGAGTGTGTGTGTGTAAAAATTGTGATTGGCGTGCATGTATGAATTTAATGTAACTATTTGTTTATTTTCTAAAATCAAATCAAAGCTTTTCCATCTATCACTGTTACAGTGTTCATAACATTTTTATGATGAGAGCAAGAAGAATATTTAGATTAATAAAAAGTTATTTTGAATTTTTACTTGAAAACGAATTTTTAAATTTTTCCGATAATTTTTTGAATTATCACTTTTAGTTCTATAAAAAAATTAACTTCAAGCTTTGAATGTCCTTGAGAAAAATTTTTAAATTCGCTAGTGCATTTTTAAACTTACGATAACTTTCGCGATGAAATCAAAAGAATATGTTAGAAAATTGTGTCTCTTGTATGAATGAAAATTATAAAAAAAATTGTGAGAATGAATTGTAAACGTGTGAGCAAATATAAATGAATTTTTTACTTAACTACTTAGAGTTCAAAATGATCAATTCTCACAATTCAACTAAGTTTAGTATAAAATTTTATTAAATAGAAAAATATTTACATATACGTAATAAATATATATACATATATGTTTATTAAGATTAGTATAATAATTTCTATAATTTCTAAAATATAATTAATTAGACAATAGGGACAATAAATACTATATAAATATCTAGTTGAGAAGTGAGAATTAAGTTGTATTAAAGTTACAATTAATTTTAACTTAACTTTCACAATTTACATCATCTACTTAGAAATAATTATACTCTTTATTTAATTTTTTTATTTGTCGATCAAAATTTTAGTTAAAAATATTACTCTTGCCATTTCGAAAGATTTTAACTAAATTTCTAATTGTAGATACGCAATTTTCCGATACAAATACTGGAATCGGAACCCAAAATAATGGTAATATAACCTGGCCGACAAAATGTCTCAATTCAAGTATTGGAAATTCATTACTGGAAGCAAAGAATGAGCAAATCGACTCTGGTATGATGCCACCACCAGCTACCACAACTGTTCCGATAGGCGTTCGACGTTCTTCAGTTAATAATCTAATTACGGAGCACCAAATAACTCAAATACCAAATTGCGCAAATGTAACTAACAATTGTCTCAAGACTGAAATTATTGATGAAAACACACAAAATTCAATGTCGTGCGGTGATTTATGTTCAAATGATTCTACTATAATAGAGAGATTTCCAGTGCATAGTGAAAATTCACTTGATGGCGCTACTTCAATTAAAGATTTAACTCCATACCCACGATCTATTCGAAAACAAAGTTTACATATTATTGACATGCCACAATCTATTGACAATAGTAATTTATCAGGATTTTCTGCTACAAGTTCTCCAACTGGACAAAATGATCAAGCACTTAATCCTCTTTCGGCTGCTGTTGCTGAATTGGTGAAGCAAGAAAAAATGAATGAATTTGAGAACAGAATCTTTACTGGATCATCTACCTCAGTTTCAGTCAGTGAACAGCAACAACAGCAAGATCAACAAAATATGGTAAACCGATTTCTATCGAATATTTCCAATTTAAAAAATCATCCATCACAGTCGAATCCAGTGAATCCTATTTTTAATACACCATCAGTAACTAATAATGTTGGAGCTGCAAGTTTATTTTCTGATAACACACTCTCATCACAATCTCAACAGCCATCAGTAATTTCACTAGAAACTACACCGACAACAGTAGCTTCATTTGACAGACAACTTTCAAACGTTCTTATGGGAAACAACAATACTGCTTCGACATTAAATCAAATTTTAAATATGGAACCACAACAAATAAACAACCGCAACGCCATATCACCATCTAATTCTTCATCATCTCCTACATCATCAACGTCGTCGTCTTCATCATCTCCAAATGGTGTGAGTCCTCCTATTCATCATGATGTTATACTTAATTCAGAACCAGCAGCTAACATTAGTTTGGCAAATTTAGGTTTAATACCTGTGCAACAGAATACCAGTACGTTGCAGCAATTGGCTCAAGCTACAACACAACAATCTTCACAAATACCGACTGAATTAATATTAAACACAAGTAAACTAATTTTTGAAATTTTTTGCTTATAGTTTTTAATAAATCAATTTTTTTACAGCTGTATCGCCAACTATAATGTGCCCACAATCTCAAGACCCAATGTTGAATAGCCAGGCTACAATAGCGAATTCAATTTTAAGTGAAATGAGTGAATTGTCAACTTCTAACACACAAGACGCTATTTTAAATAATATTATAATGCAGAGTAATCCCACAACTACAGCCAATAGTGTTGCAGCACAACAACAGCAACAACAACAGCAACAACAACAACAACAGCAGCAGCAACAGCAGCAACAACAACAACAGCAACAAGTTGCTGCAAATTTCATAACATCGCAAGAAAGAAATATAAATACTAGAACAAACATAAATACAATTCTTAATCAAATGCTAAATGAACAACAGCAAGTTCCACATTTAATAAATAACATAAGAACAAATACACTGCCGAATTCTCAAATTTCCTCGAATAATGCGTCAAATGTTCTCCAAACACATACAGCTAACTTACAACAAGTTCAATCACAACAACAAATTACACAAATGGATATATGTTCAAATCAGACACAATCAATTAACACACATTTAAATCATTTTACAGATGCGAATCTGTTACAAAACCAATTAACCACTGCCACTTCAGTTCCTCTGGTTGATATTTTGATGGATCGCCATAATTCAACCAATTCAGGCACTGTAAATTCAAATAATTTTTTACATAATATGCAAAAGAATCAACAAATAATACCAAATATTATGTAAGTTTTTTTTTTGATACATGTATTGCTAAAGTTTAAAATTTAGGTAAATAATATTTTCAATTTTTTAAACTAATGTTCCAAAATTTTTATTATTTCAGTTCAACAAAAAATCAGGAATCTCTAATGCAAACTGTTTCATTGAATAATTCTGGAACTAACTTAGAAAAAACTAAGATAACGGATGGTCATGTTAATCAAATCACACCCATTAATGTTGATACAATGCAACCAAATATAGTTTCCCCAGCAGCTGTCACACCAGCAACTGCAACAACAATTCCACAAGATATTGCAACTATGTCAGTTCAAGATTTGATCAGTTATATCAATCCAAGCACATTCGAATAAGGTAAAGCAAAATTAATTATCAAATTTTTTTGAAAGGGATTCTAATTTATTTTTTTAATATTTGGATATTTGGAAGATTCAATTTTGATTCTATTTGAGAGTTTGGCAAAAATTTAATATAAGTGTAGAGAAATTAATTAATTCTTCATTAATTGATACTGCTTTTTATTCATTGAAAACCTGAATAGTATTCCTTTTTGTAGATATTAAAGTCCAATATTTGTAAAAATATATGAAAAAATCTAACGAGATATAAGAAAACTAAATAAAATATTGATTTATAATATTTTAGAATCACAATTTCCATATTGTTTTTTGAAAATATAAACTAATTCATTACAGTTACAATTATTATTTACAAGTTTAATATTTCTTTCATAATTTTTATTTATATTATTTTAATTTGATATTTTAGTGTAAGAGAAAAACTTTATATCCGGTTATCTTATGGTCAGTATTCTTCAGAAAGCAAAATAACTTCACTATTTATTAGTGAAAAATGCGAAAGGTCAATGAAAAACCAGCAAAAATAAAAACAAAACATGATTTTTAACAAAAGGTTTCAACGATAAAGTGCATTAAATATTAGATTTAAGCATAAATATTATTTATAATATAAGATCTATATATACATATTAAAATATATAAAGAATTTTAATTAATACATATTATATTGTAAAAATGAGAAAAAAGGTTTCCAATTACGAATGTAAAAAATTATATACATATTCAAGCGTATACATAGTTATTGTATCAATGTATAACAATTACTTTAAGTCCGGAGATTTTAAGGAATTTCATTTTACTAAACATTTCAGATACTTTTCAATATTATTTGCGATGGAAATTAGAGTAGTACACGTGATATAAAACAAAAACTTTGAAATTTAGTTCATTCATTAATTTTGTTGCATTTGTCAATGATTCAAAAAATTCACTTAAAAAGTTAATAATAATTAATGTGGGAATGTTTTCTAAAACATTTTAAACTTATGATAATCTTTAACTTACAATTAAAATTATATTTTTTAAAATATTAATTTTTATTTCTAAATTTTTTTGTGTTTTTGTATTATGAGCATATTTCATTATGTATTTGAACTGAAATAATTTATCTTAATTCTAAAAATAAAATATAACCAAAAATGATATATTTATTTATGAATAATTAAGTTAAATATTTTATTCAATGCGCTTAAACTTTTACACTAAAATTTTTATTTTAGAAAAGTTCTTGGTAATTCCTTTTTATCCGTACTTTAATTCAAAAAAAACTTTCGTAAAGTTTTCTAAAGTTGATTGAAGCTCTGTAGCTCAAAATATTTTATTTTAATTTTGGGGCCCATAGAAGAATATTTCAAATTAAGTGCTTAAATTATAAATTTCTTAATATTTCATCTATATTTTTCTTACCTAATCGTTTCTTTCATTTGAGTGATTATTCAGTTATTGAGTTTTGGTATATTCACAATCAATTAGATTAGGTGTTCTTTCCATCGCTGCAAATCTTAAAATTAATTATTTTTGATAAAAGTATCATTTTTTTTATATAAATTAATAAAGAATAATAAACTACTGCTAATTATAATGATATTTTAGGAATTTAGAGAAAGAAAATGAATCAAAATAAGTACATATTATACTATAAAAAACAATTATTCTAATATCAGAAAATTTAATATTTTTATTTGTATATAAATTATTTTTAAGTCCTCATATGTATTTTATTATACACACGTATGTTATGGTATATATCTAAATGAATAGAAAAGCATATAAATAAATTTTATATTATACTGCTGGTAATTGTTAAGTGTTACTATATTAATGTATTATTGTAAACTTTAATAATGATTTTTTATTATTTTTGTTCATGTTTTTTTTATTATTTTTTCTTCATAATTTAAATAAGTTTTGGTTTTAAAATTAAAAAATTCGATACCTTTAAGGTTGAATTTAAATAAAAACGCTTTATTCATGATAAGAAAGTCACAGATTTAATATTATTTTTAATATTAATTTTTGCAACTTAACCCTAGCTTTTTCTTCCTTTTAAGAGAATCTGCAACAAAAAAAAATTTGAATAGGGTTACTATATTACGCTTTCAATATTCAGTAAATTTTATAATAATATATTTTAATTTTTATCTTTTAAAATATATTTTGATAAACAATAAAATCCTGCGTTAATTCAGGAAAATTTTTGAATAAGTAGAGTAGGAGTTGACACTTGATAAGAGAGTTAAAATCTGTGCCTTGCTTATTTCAAGTAAAGAAGAAAAAATTGAATGTCGAAAAATGGAATTTGTAAAATCACATTAAATGTACATATATTTTTAAAAGATAAAGTTGTAAAAAAATAAGAACAACTTATACAGATAAAAAAATTATACAGTTTTTTTTAAATATATTGATTTTTTTTATTCTTATTTCAATGTTCTTGAGTCTTTTTACAGATTATGAACTTTTAAAAAATGAAAACATATACGTACATATATTGATGTTTATAAATATATTTATATATATATGAATTTAAATATTCAATACATGTTTTTATTAGTAAAAAAATATATAAAAGAAAGAAATGTGATCTCAAATCTTAAAAAACAAAATGCGGAAACTTAAATTCCTCATTTAATTGAAATATGTCTAACCATTTGCATGTAAACAAAACAATGAAACAAGTTTTTTTTGTTTATTTAAGAAGAATGGAAAGAAATAAATATTTATTCATCGTTGTTGTTGTCAAAAATATTTTAAATTATGTTGTATGCTTTCTTAATTTCTATTAACTTTTTTATATGAAACATAAAATGAATAGTGGTGGAGGAAACCCAACCTATCTTAAGGGTGTGTATCACCTTCATTAAACCGATATAATTTGTGAAATTTAGTAGTTGAAATTAGATGAAATTTGCCATATTAAATCAATCAATTTCATGATTACCAGGAGATTATAGTTAATCACAACATAGAACTCCGATAAATAAAAATAACTAAGAAATAAATCAAAAGTTTCTACCAAAAGTTAAGAGTTAAAAGTTTAACTAACCAAATCAATTTTACTCAATTTTAAGGTAAATTTCATAAACATATATATTTATTTTAAACCTTTTCAACGTCAAATGTGTCAGCGTTTTTATATGTCAGCATTAAGTGTGGAGTTTGGAATTTTGATCTTAATTTTATGAAAAAAAACTAATACGGTAGCAAAATGTAATAATGAATATTTGAAACATTTTGAGATTGAACTTAAATATGTATTTCCTAAACTAAAAAAAATCTTTGTCCACAATGACCGCATGACGCAAAAGTTTTATCAATTAAAAATGCATTATAAAAACTTATCCAACAATCGTTTTCTTACACGATTTATATCTTATAATATGAAAAATTCAGGTAGAGTTTGTTTAGGGTTTCTCGCATATTTTTTATTCAATTTTTTATGAACGACTGAATTTTCTGAATTTGTTGAAATAAATAATCCGGTGCAATAAAATTAGTAAAATATTTGCCATTCACCTATGTACATGTGTCTGTAATGTTAAAGTAAACTTAGTTAAAAAACATCAATTAAATAATTTACTTTGGTGAATTAAAAAATGCTTACTCTTGGTAAGTTAAATTATTTTAAATGAGAATTATGCGTTTTCGTAAATATAAATGTATTAAAGTAAGTGTAAAAAAACGTTTATTTTGGTTCTTATTAAATCTTGCACAACCCAGAATGACCTTTACACTAGGCAATTTGATTTTTTCAAGATATGTACCATGCTTTTTTTGGTATTGATTTTGTGAACACTTAACTCTAAATTAAACATAAGAATTTTATATAAATATTCACAATAAATTTTTAAAATATCTTTTAAAGTAACTTTGGAATAGAGTTCATTAATAACTATGCTAATACTAATAAAATAAACTATGTACCATTAATAACAATACTAGTAAAATAAACATTACTTAAAATATCATAAGTCATTAAACCAATAAAAAATATAGGTCAAAAAACAAGGAGTTTTTGAACAATGTCGAAAATGTTAACATTTGTACATAATGTAAGAATAAAAAAGAAAAAAGAATATTTTATCGCGTGCACTAAAAGGAATTTATCCTTTTCCTTTTTTTACTTTTTTTTTGGAAACCGTTCTGCGAGTAAATAAAGAAATTATTAGAAAGTGAGGAAGTTATTACCGTTATGAGAAAAAAAACTCACCCTCACCATGTTGTGAAATGTTGTCAAATCAAAATTTTGTTTATTACGTTGTAGAATGAAAAGAAATGTAAATTGGCATTGAAAAAACCCTCAAACAACAAAATTTTGCTTTGTTTTGATTTTATGGTTTATTTACAATGTTTAAAAGAAGCCTTGAATTATTTTAATGCCAACATGTACGTTTGGTATGGCGTATGCTGTGTATGTAAACGACCTTGGCAAAACAGAATAAAATTTAATATGAAAATTAACCATTTCAAATAACTTTATTTTGGTATTAGTTCATTGTTTAGAAAAGAAAGATATGAAAAACGGAACAGTAGGATGACGTCACATATACCCAAACTTACTAAACTATATTTATTAAGAAAATTTTTAGAACATCAGAAAATTTCTGAAATTGGAAGTTTCAAGATTTTAAAACTTTGAGAATTAAATAAGCTAAAATTTAAATAAATTTTTGCACATTTTGATATTGTGGTTTATCACTATAAATTGTGGAAAAAATTGATAAAACTTAAGATTGAACTTTAAAATGTCCTTTAATATTATGTATGTATCTATAAGAAAAATTATTGTTTATAAGAAATCTTATAATTTTCGAAAACTTATTTGTGATACAAAACTTATTTGTGATAAAAGTTACAGATTGACTGCCAATATTGCAAAAACGATTGGTTGACTGACGTAACAGGTGCACCAAGTCTACCGCACCCATATACTAATCCCCGATACTCATTTTCGATATTTCATCGGGTCTCGTCACACATACTCAGCCTCACGTGATCAGTCTGGCCTCCCCCAGAGCTGCACACTCGCAGCGATAGTGAAAAAAGATTTTCTTATCCATTTACCGGCAGCTGCGACACGTTTGTCGAAGGGTAATCCTAGTATACCCTCATGCTTCCCAACGGCAAGTCTCCCGTGTTGCAGCCGTATGGCAGGTCATGTCCCTCCGAGACATCGTCAGGAGCTCATGCGATTTTCTCAGGTTGATTTTGGTCCCATCTTTCTTGCCATCCCGCATATTGACAGAGCTTTCCATCTGTGGTCGCCGCAAGATAAATAAAGCATATAAATATTTATTTTCAATGTTTTGATGGGATGAAAAACCCGTCCCGCCACAAAAATGCCAATGGGTGAGCCACACCTAGCCAGCTCATCCGCTTGTTCATTTCCCGCTATATTACAGTGGCTCAGCAGCCGTTTATCTGCACAGTCTGTCATTTCATAATCTGTATTTTTTTTAACAATATAGAATTTAAATTTAGTGTCTTAAGTTAATTATCTAAATATATGTAAATAATCTCATATTTTTATTAGGGAAAGTGAATTCTTTCAAATTAAAATTGGTTTTCAAATCTTTTATAATATCTTGAATTTAGCGGGCCTGTTTTACATTTTTGAACATTTTGAAGAAAATATTCAACCGATTTTCTTGAAATTTCATATATGAGCTTTGCTCGACCGGACGCGAAAATTCCTAACTTTTGGAAGAAAATCAGGCATCAGCAACTGGGCGTTTACTACGGGCCAAATATACATTTTAGCGTATATAAAGAGAAATAATCAACCGATTTCTTTGAAATTTAATATTTAAATTCTTCGTATTGAAACAATGAACATATAATTTTTTTGGAAAGATCAGGGCTCGAAAACTGATCTACGGGCCGATTTTACATTTTTCACCATATCTATACGGAACGAATTGATGGAATTTCTTGAAATTTGATATTTGAGTTCTGGTTCTTACCGAAACTAACTGGGGAGCATTTCAGGCAATTCGGGTAGCATAAACCAAAACCCTACTAAGAGCCAAATTTACATTTTTCTAGGTATGTTAACTTTAAGCTTACTAATGTTCTAAGAATTGGAAAGAAGTATTTAACAGATATTTTTATAATATTCTGTAAC